TAGTCATGTGAAACCCGGCTCAGGTCCAGTGGTTTCGTGCAGGAGGTTGGCTTCGCCATCTTGAAACTAGTCTGGCTGCAGGATGCTGCCAGGCCAGGAGGAAGCGGCGGGGGCAGCCGGCCTCGCCTTTGGGTTGGGTCTGGCACCAGGGCTAGGCCCCTCTCCCTGAGCAGGCTGCTTCAGATCTGAAAGGAGACCCAGACCTTCTAGATTCTAAAGAACCCCAAGTGACCTCTCAAAGGCCAGGCTGCACTCATTTGGTGCAGAGGAAGAGAAAACACCTTTTTTTCCGTTTGGGATCCAGTTTCTATTTTAGGAAGGTGACATCTGAGCCAAATATTTTCACTAATCCTGTTTGCCATCTCTCTCCCCTCCATCCCACCTTCTCCAAAAGCAAATAGCTGAGATCGGACACTGCTCACAGGTGACTCCGAATCACACATCCCCATAAACGTGTTCAGCTTGCGGTTCTTAAAACGAGTCCCTTGGGCATGTTTATGAGTTTCTTCTCCTTCCAGTCTGACAACCGATAATTCCCAGGGGGCAGGTGCCTCCCCTTGGGCTATGAGGTTAGCAGGTGTGGTGGCCACATTCCCCCCGGGGTATCTCTGTAGGTTGCTTCAGGCCCCAGTGAAATGCTCCTTTGCGCTCAAAGTCAGAGGCTGGACCAGGGATGAGCCCTCCCAGGACACCTCCCCATCCCTACCTGGTGGTCTCTCCACTGCCTGGGGCCTGGTTGGGGACCTCCGAGGAGGGCAGGCGAGCCTCTCCCTGATGTCCTGCTGGCAACCATTCTCCTGGCTTGATGTCCGCGGTGGCTGGGGAGGAGAGAGAGTTCAGTCAACTCTGGCTCTGGAACCCCTTTGAGGATGCTCCTTACTGGGCAAGGCCAAAAAGCCAAAAAAAGCACATGCCCAGGCTAGCCCCGATAGCTCCCTGGAGCTTATGGATGAGGACTCGCTTACTTGCGCAGCCCCAGAACTTTCCAGGCGGCCACTTGGGACTTACGACCTGGGGCTGCAGCGTGAGTGCTCTGGCCGGAGACCTCCGGCCCTGTTGCTTCTCCTGACCCCCCCTCTGCCTCTCAAACTACATCTCCAAGATCAAGACCTGAGCTGAGATCAAGAGTTGGATGCTTAACCGACTGAGTCACCCAGGCACCCCTGGGGTGCCCTGTATTTTTATTTGCTAAATCCGGCCACCCCGGAAGTGGGGCTCTCTTTCCCAGGCCCCTTCAGGCCTGAATCCCTCAGTCCACCCCCAGGGGCAGGAGCTGCCCTCATTCCCAGCAGTGCTTGTGCTGACCTCATGGCCAAGGACCAGGGCACCCGGGTCATCCCAGAGACCTTCACTGGGAAGTGACAGAGAAGTCCCCGATGACTCTGCCGGGGAGCTCTCCTGAGCGCCTAGTCTGGATTTCAAATAACATGACCCCCTTCTCTCCTGCCCCACTTCTCTTCTCCTTCTGCTGCCAAAGGGGTCCATGCCACGGTCAGAGCAATTCTGTGACCGAGTCCAGATTCGCTGCTTCCTTAATCCAAGCTCCTTCTAGCTCTTTTGTTTAAAAATCTCCCTGGTATCTTTGCAATGTGGCTTCTACTTTATCTTAAATACAAACTTTCTTCTTTGCAGCTTTGACTTCCAGGTAACGGTCTTTTCACCCAAGCAGGGAATGTTTCTGGAATGGAACCCAACGGATGGCTTTATTTATGGTCCATACTGGACAGTCTCCACCTAGAGCTGGGCCTGGAATCGGAAATGGAGCCTTCTCTGACCTGTTCTCCAGTGGACACCTGGCCTGCTTGTCTGTGCTCTCGGCTCCGTGGGCTTCTAATCAGGCCCAGGAGATAGCATTTCGGTGTATGAAGCAATAATCAAGGGCAACTACGTACAGTTGTGTGCTGGGCGACACACAGAGAAAATCCCATTCCAGGGAACGGTGCCCAGGGGCAGGCAGTCCTCCAGGATCAGGAGCTTTCCCAGGTGGGTGTGGGCGGAGGGCCAGGTTGGGGGGTGGGTGGGAAAGCCCCCTGGCAGGAGGGAGGAGGAGTTTTGCTGAGCTCTCCTGAGACCCTCTGAGGTCTTTTCGGCTCTGTCACCCAATAGTAGTCACCCCCAATGCCCCTTCCGACTCCCTCCACTGAATGTCACAGTGCGGTCCTTCAGAGCTCCCACCACTGACTCCAGGCCACTGACAAAGTATGCGGCTTTGATATCCAAGATAGACTCGGGTGATTGGGTAATGAGAGTAACTTTCCTGAGGCCAATGTCTTAGAAAATTTGAAGACACATTCTTGGCTTTTTCCTTTTGGGAGCTATTTCCTTGGCTCTGTGGGGCCAAGTCCCTCTGCTTAAAAAGAATGTACTTTCTGGCCCTGTGGTCAACTGATCGAGCGGTTGCAGGGGTCCACAGGCTCCTCATCACGAGATTTCACCTTCAGCGTTGACTGAACGCCGAGATGTGAAGAGCTTCCTGAGCGGGTTCTCAGTGGGCCTGAGGTGGGGCAGAGGTTCCCAGCATGAGTGCAGGCCGGGAGGCCAGACTCAGTAGCAAGTCACATGTGAGGGGCCTCTGAGGAGTAGCTGCGTGAGGCCAGACTGGGATGGGGGGACAGGTGAGCGAGAGCTCAGAAGTGGGAGAAAGGGCTGGAGAGGCAGGGCTGTATGGATGCAAGGGTCCAGAGGAGGTCAGCTCAGGCTTTTGACAGGGAAGGAATATCACAGAGGACAACGAGACCACCTGGCCCACCACTGGCCTCTTCCTCTCGGGCCCTCTTATATCTGCTGAGCCCAGAGGCAGCCTCAGAACTAGTCTCAACCCTGATTATGTGCATTCTAAGCACATAAGCCCAAGCCTGCTTGCTCTCCATCCTCACACAGAGGCTGGATCAGAAGAGGGAGGGATGGCCGCAACAAGACCAGCTGGGTCGGGGTGGGGGCAGACACTGGTCCAGGGACATCGGTTCTGGGGTGGCTGCAGCTGGCCAAGCCCGGAAGAGGGTAGGAGGAAGAACAGAATCGGTACCAGAAATGCTCCCTAAGTGGCTGAGGGAGAGCCACTAACCCAGAGGGTGGGCCTCTGTAGTAAAACGATTATAAGGGAGAAGGAGGAGTGCTGTCCTGAGTCTGAGGACAGGCCGGGCAGGCCTGGGGAGAGAGGTTAATATGGCCGGTTTCGGGCTGGTAGACTGAGGGCAGCTAGTTTGGAGCCTACTGAGGTGGGGGGGTGGGGAGTTGATGGACAGGGTAGGGAGGGTGCCAGGCAGGCCTAAGCAGAGAGGAGCAGGCAGGAGGAGGGGACATGTGGAATATGGCCTCAGAGTTCAGGGCTACACGTGGCAGCGTGACTCAGGCCAAGTGGCTGCCCTGGCTCCAGGTGGCCCACGTGGAGGGCTGCCACTTCCCCAGGGAGAGGCACTGGGGCCTGCTGCTGATCACCAAGGCCGCCCACTGTTTTCACGTGAGGAACCAGGATTGGCCAGGGCCTCGACTTTGTCAGGCTACCATCGATTGTTTCTGAAAATCACAAGGACATCACCATCTCCAGGAAAATCAGTTGCCACACGCTACTCCATCTGTGGCAACCTCAAATGCCTCCGTCCTATAGGTAATCCATGCTAAATCTTTCCAAAATATAGGACCATACTGAGAATTGGTGCAAGACAGAGGACCACCCTGGTGGTCGCTTTGGTAAAGCAAGGATGTACCTGATAAATAAATTACCCTAAATGCAACTTTTGGGAAGTCCAGGCCTATAGAGCTTGAAATCATTTTTAACTCAATGGCATTAGGTTAAATTGGCAAAGGTGGTTAGACCACTAAAACCTCCACCCTGGCAGCAGAAATCTCTGGACAAATGGTGGAGCAAATCACCTTTCAGTGAAGGCATATTAAGGTTTATAGCTCTAATAACACATGACCCCAGGTGGCAAAACCTCTAAAAGTGTGCATAACCAGGAGACAATCCCCCAGACTCTCAAACAGCCTGGCTCTACTCTGGCTCTGTGACCAGCCTCCTGCTTTGAACTGGGGCTTGGAAGCGTTGGAATCCAATTGTGAGCAGATTATAAAAGTTCTCAGATGTTTCTCAACCTGGAATCTGACCTGCTCCTCTGTTGTTTTTCCTCTTTGCATGGAGATTACGGTCTTATCTGGCCTGCTCATATCCTTTTAATTTCCTCTTGCGAATTAAAAAAAAAAGTACTTTGTACGTTTCTGATTCAAAGCATATCTATTTTTTCTGGCATCTAAAAAAATCCTTTTATCCCCCATCAGTCTCTGGTGAACTCGACTAGATGTTTCAAAATGTTCTGGCTTCTCCTGGCACAGTTCTGTCTCAGACCAGCCCTTGAATAGGTGGCCGGCCGCCACCTCAGCATCAGAGTTTGAGGTGCCAAAGTCTCGGGCAGAAATCTCCAACATTCTGAGATGACTACTTGGAAATCGCACAGTAAACACACAGCTTTGTGTGAGCCGAAATCTTGCCCGACTGGCGTGTGGACGTCTCTCAGAGAAGGGGGTTTAGAGGCGTGGCTGTGTGGTTCTGGGCCTGTGGGCCTCCGTGGCTCAGGGCAGTGGGGGAGATCAGGTGTGAGGCTGAGGCCTTTCTGGGTCTCTAACTGCTGCTGCTTACTTCGGGTCCAGGCATCACCAGCCCCCCGAGCTGACTCCCCGCGCCCCCGCCCGCGGTTCTTACGGTTCTTACGTGAAGAGGAGAAGCAAGGCTCCAAAGCACTGGGCTCAGCCCCCTCGTAGACGGGAGGGTGGGCGCTTGTCAGGGACGGCAGGCTGCCGTTTTGGGCAGGCTGGGCCATCTGGGGAGAAATGGGATAGCCTTCCAGCCTGGAAGAAAAGATGAAAAACAGCAATAAACGCAGAGAGCCCGGAGGTATTTGCCGACTACTGGCCGCGTAGCATCACGAACAGATACAGGAAGTGGAAGTACCTGAAATTCCTTTATTAAACTGGTATCAGCAGACATTAAACCTTTTTACGGATAGTGGCGGAAACTAGAAAATACCCTGGTAGCTCCTCAACATTTACAGTGATACATGGCTTCCTATCTTTCTAACACGAAAATGGTATCTTCTGGCTTTGGGGGACATGGGAACGTGACATCTCAACCAAACCATTTAAGGTACCAATCTTCGGGTTTTTCCGCAGAGGAGGAAGCAGATGAGCCGAAGGGACGAATGCAATCAGAAAGACGTGACGTGTCCTGTCAGCCGTGACAGCAAGAGCTCGGCAGGCCCGGGCCCGGGAGGAGCTCGCTCTCTGCATCACCAGCCCCATGGCGTCTGCACGGCTGCCAGCACCCGGGTCGGTGGAGACCCATTCACCCGGCAGACACGGACTGGGCGCCTCATGGTACCGGACCCCCCCCCCAGCAGCCGGGCGCCAGAGACGGGGGGCCCGGGCCAGCAAGGCCCCGAGAGGTGGCGGGAGGGAGGTCGGCTCCTCGTTCAGCCTTGACAGCAGATCCCGAGGAAGGCTCTCCAGGTGGGCCCGGCAGCCCAACACTGGCTTCTCTTCAACAAGGAGACACTCGCCACCTGCCCAGCGAGGGCTTGGTGGGAGACGCAGCGCGGCGAGCCTGTGGCGCTCCGCCCAGGGCTGGGCCCCAGGAGATGGCCGTTCTTGAATGTCAGCTCCAGTAGCAAAGACAAACAGACGCTAAGCCACCCCGAGGGGCAGGAAAGGCTGTGTGTGTGTGTGTCTCTGTGTGTGTGTGTCTGTGTGTGCGGGGGGGGGGCATGCAGCCAGTCCAGCTCGGGCTGCCTGGGGCCAAAAGAGGGAACATTTTCCAACAGAGGTAACACCGCGAGGCAGATGCCGAGGCGGAAACAAACAAAAGTGCCGCACTGTTGCAGAAAGATTTAAGGCACCACAGAAACTGCGGGCTAGAGGGGACAGGGTGTCCGGGGCCGGGGGCACTTCGAGGCCCAAGGTGGGGGGGGGGGGTCAACTGAGAAGGACCTTGTCAGCCAGCGTTTGGTTAGATTTGATCCCTCAGGGAGACAGGAATGCCCTTCCGTGATGATGTGCTAGAAATCTCATTCTAGGGTGGCGGACGGTAGACCGTGGCGGGGGCACCATTAGGGGCGAAGAGGTGGCTCAGGAGGGCAGAGGGGAGGCCAGGGCTGGGAGAGCAGAGGGAGGAGAGGGCTCGGCGGCCAGGGGGCAGGATTCTGGCTCGGGGGTTTGGGGGTATTAGCGCCATTCCCTGAAGCGGGGGGCTCAGAAGACAGCGGTGTTCACCTAGGAAGCGCTAACTTGGGGTGCTGGGGGGACACCCCTCGCGCTTGGCGCAAGTCTGGAAAGGAGTGAGATTTGGGTGCCTGGAGTGTGTAAGGAAACCCGCGGAGAAGCAGGATGCTGGTAGGGGCCAGAAATGAGGCATTTTAGGAGGCAGAGGGGTGAGTTAGGGGCCAAGCCCACGTGGCAGCAGGGTGTGGGGGTGGGACAGTGACCAGGAGGGTGGTCGGCAGTGGCGACCGTGAGGGACGCTGTGCGGCCTCGGCTTGGAAGCTGCAACTGATGAATTACTGAACTCTACAGCTGAAACGAAAGATACTCTAGATGTTGGCTAATTGAATTTTAATTAAAAAAAAAAAAGAAGCAGCTGCGAGGTCACTGGTGGCCGTGGCAGCGGTAACTTGAAGTCACTGGTGGGCCGCGTGGGCCGAGAAGGGAGGGCAGGGGGCGTGGAAGCAGGCAGAGAGGGCCTGGGCGAGGGGGGCTGGGGGCCTGGGAGCCTGTGGGGAGGCCTGGGGAAGGAAAGCAGTAGGAAGGGAGGGTGAAGGTGGAGCAACGAGGTGTTAAATGATGGCGCCAAGTTTGGACAGTGAGCAGAGGGGAGAGACCCAGAACCCACGGAGCGGTGAGGCGGGGCGGGTGGGGGGCGGGTTGCGGAGGAAATAGGCCAAGGGAGGGCTGGGGTGAGGGAGGGCCCTGAGCTGTGCAGGGTGACTTTTTATTTTAAACTTTCTTTTCTTGATTAAAAAACCAGTAAATGTTGATCATGAAAAATTAGGAAAATATATGGGCTACACAGAATGTCCTGCCCTCGCAATACCTAGACACGACCCTGATTAACATCTGATATCTTTTCACTTTTAAAAAATGCAAATATATACTTAAAAAAAATAAACTTGGGATCACTATAAGTGGCCAGCAGGCTGGATCTACCCTGTTTTATAATTTGCTTTTTCACTTAGCAATATATTGTGAGGCTCTCCTCATGTATTAAGTATTCTTCTAAAACATCATTTTCAATACTGTGTTGTGTGACTATATAATTATGTAAACAGCCTCCTACTTTGGGCATTTTGATTCTACTTTTTTTTTTTTTAATGAATAAGTTTTTCTTTGTTTTTTTAGAGAGGGAGGGAGAGAATCTTAAGCTGGTTCCACACCCAGCGCAGAGCCCGACACGGGGCTCGATCTCATGACCCTGAGATCATGACCTGGGCCGAATGGCTTCCCCGATTGAGCCACCCAGGTGCCCCATTTAGACTTCTTATGACTACTGCCATAAATGCCCTGTATATATATCTGTGAGCATCTGATTGCTTCTCAGCACCAAACCCTAGAGGTGGGATTACTGACCCCAGAAGTACTAGTACCTGGAACGTGTGTGGAATGTACTGCCAGCGTCTCCAAGATCACGGAGGTCCTCAGTTGACATTCCTGGCAGCACTAGGGGATCAGAGCCAGCTGGCTTTGTGGGGTCACAGACACTTTTTACAGGGGCTAACTCAAGATCCTGTAAGTTGACTTTCTGCCGAGTGCGGGGGGCACCCGGCATCCGCCACCCTCCACTGACCACAGGACATTGACCATGGCTTTGTGTGCTTCTAAGGGGCCAGAAATCACATCTCATTTATTCTTGTTTCGCTAGAAATTAGCACACCATCTGGTGCTCAGAAGTGATACAAATGTCTGTAGAACTGGCCCAATGGAGGGAGCTGGGCAATTGCACTAGAGTTGGGGGGTCCAGTTCCAGGAAAATGAGGTCCTCTCCGTCCCACAAGTCAGGGGACATCCCTGGCATGGAAAGACATCCTCTTCTTCCTCTCCACAAGGTAGAACACCCGACCCCAGAATTAACGGTGCCCATTGGTTAGATCTTCTATTTATTAGACTCTCTTTATCCTCATTTCTAACTAAATATCCTCACGTCACTGTTGCCTCTCTGGGTTTCAAGAACTTTAAAAGATAATCTTAATTTTTAAAGATGATGATTTGGCATCCTCTATCCCATGTTAAGCAAGATGAATTTTATCAGCGCCTGTTACCACTTCCATTTAAAAAGATATAAACTAGATTTACTAGTAGTTGACACTTGGCTATATTCCAGATCAAACAAGCAAACACAAAACCTGATACAAATGACATTTTGGGGACAGTTAGGGAATACCGATATACTACAGAGTGTTACGTGAATGTTGACTTTCTTAGGTGTGACTTTCTTGTACTTGTGGTTAAGTACAAGATGTTCTTACTCTTGGGGGATGCATGCTGCAAGTCTGCAACCTCCTTTCAAACTGTTCAGCAAAACAAAGTATATGTGCGTAAATTACATATTATGCACTAGAAGGAGACTGAGAGAGGACGCAAAGGTGCCAAATGTTCATAACTGGAAGCTAAGTTAAAATACACTGACAGTAAGTTTAAGAGAAAGATACATTATTAGCAGTTTAAAATAAGAACCTTGAAATATGAAGCACGTGACGACCAGTTCTGAAATCAAATCAAACAGAGCACCAGTCCACGATGTGGGCCTGGAAATACTTACAGGTCAGGTCCCACGTGGGAAGAGCACTTGGCAGATCTGGGTGCAGGGGCCTCGGCATCCCCGGCAGCCACACACGGAGCTCCAGGGCTGGCATTTCCGTGCTCTGTTTGTGGCTGTTCGGCAGGTGCCTGGCTGTTCATTACAAATTACTATAGAGTAAAACTGGAAACAACCAAACTGCCCAGCTATGGGGGATAACTAAGTAAAATATGGCCTATTCATTTGAACTATTTTATGGCCAATATTTGTAGGTTTTTCTCCTGCTCTCTATAACCCCCTCGCTCGTACCTGTTTCTCTCTGCCATTCTCTCTAGACAGTTGGACTGACTGGCCTGGGGCTCCCCGAGAGCCCACAGGGGTCTAGGCCCCCAGGTCCCCAGGTTGGTCCCAGGTTCTGGGTAACCACTCTAAAACTGTGTTCACATCAACGAGGTAGGAGCAAGGTTATGAAGAAAGCTAGGCCGCTAAACGTGCATAGAGTTGCTTTAAAAAGTGAGTGTGTTTATCTAAAGATAAGTGGATTTGATGTCTTAACCTGTGACACTCCACCCCAACAGAAGGCCCAGTGCGATGGTGGGGGAGGGGTGCAGAACAAAAGCAACCCGAGGCCTGTTGGGTGGACCCACCACTGCTCCTTCTGGTCCTTGCCTTTGAAATTACATTGGCCGACACTTGGCTTCTTCTGGGCGAAGGCTGGAAGTGCCTGGAGATCCTGAAATCCAACCACTTCATTTTTTGGAAGAAGAAAGCCGGGGGTGAAGGAGACAACCTCTTTCCCCTCAAAAATCCCCGAGAGAGAAACAATGAAGAGATAAATGCTTTCCAATGTGAACGTTTTATTTTGAGTTTTTCAATACACACATCTTACACTGCAGTTAAAACAAAGCTTAAGAAAAGAACTCCCCGCCTCCGTTAGCCCGGACTTACACTGGGTACCCGGTCCTGTGGCCGCCGGGGGTGATGGGCCGGCGCAGGGGCTCGTCGGCACTCTGCTGCACACTGGCCAGGCCCTTCCGCCTCGCCTTCCCCGTGTTCGTCATAATCTGGTGGAAGGAAAGAGGAGACAGGGCTGGAGACACCACCTACTTGGGAGCTGACCTCATAGTAATAAGAGGCTTTGCAAATTGATGAGGAAGGATCATGACATAGATTATTCAGATAAACAGAAATTGGGGAAAAAACTCGTTTAGGTTTGCATATTATACCATTTAGCAGTATAAATTAAAAAAAAAAATCAGACCATGGAAAAGAGGAGAAGAAAACAGTTTGAATAAATAATTACATCTCAGGGAAGACTGAGTTTTGAAAGTGAGAAGAAAAAAAAGATGGGCAGATTTGGTTTCATAAAAATTTTCCACTTATATATTAGAGATAAGCCAAATGAACAGGTAAACAACCAACTGGGAAGAAATATTTGCACATATTTAACAGAATGGAAGGTTAAGATTTTCATTAGATAAGCAGCTCTTACAAATCAATAAGTAAGGGGCGCCTGGGTGGCTCAGTCGTTAAGCGTCTGCCTTCGGCTCAGGTCGTGATCCCAGAGTCCTGGGATCGAGCCCCACATCGGGCTCCTTGCTCCGCGGGAAGCCTGCTTCTCCCTCTCCCACTCCCCCTGCTTGTGTTCCCTCTCTCGGTATCTCTCTCTCTGTCAAATAAATAATTAAAATCTTTAAAAAAAACAAAACAAATCAATAAGTAAGAGAGTAGAAGACGGAGCAAAGAATTCAAATAGCTAAGTCACACAATAGAAAAGATCACTGGTAAATACAAGAAAAAAATGACCAACTTTACAAGTAATTAGAAACTACAACTTCATAAAAAAGGTGTAATCTTTCAATGATTATATGACCATGTAACTGGCTGGCAGGATTCAAAATTGTTAGTGGCCCAGCAGGCTGAGTCATTTCTAATTACTTTAGGAAGTAATCTGGTGTTTTTTAACAGGAGAGTCATAAAAATGTTCACATCCTTGGGTGTAAATCAGAGGGAGAAGCAGGCTCCCTGCTGAGCCGGGAGCCCGATGTGGGACTCGATCCCAGGACCCTAGGATCATGACCTGAGCCGAAGGCAGTCGCTTAACCAACTGAGCCACCCAGGTGCCCACCTTGGGTGTAAATCCTAGGGAAAGAACCCCAAATATGGAAAATGTTAAATAAACAAAGTTGTTTGTTACAAAACTGTCATAGAGTAAAACTGGAATAACCTAAGTGTCTGGCAAGAGAGGAATAAATAAGTGAAATATGGCATATTCATTTGAAATATTAAGTGGCCATTTACAATGATAAAGACTAGGTTATGAAAAAATGTTTATTTAAAACATTTAATAAAAGGTTATAATACTGTATATAAATGATACTTTCAATTAGGCTAAAAGCACACACAAGACCGGAAGGAAACGAACACTAAAATGCATCCAGTGGGAAGCAGGATAGCAGAACCAAGGGGAATTTTTTCTCCCCTTTATTTTCCAAGTGTTCTGTAATACGGTTAGATTATGTTCACAATTAAGACAAATGGTTTACAGAAGAAATGACTGTACAACCAGGGAAATGGAACCAGAGTCTGCACGGAACCAGTGCAGGCTGCCCGTCCGAGGTGGCACGGGACCTCTCGACACTCCCTTTTCAAATTCCTGTGAATCTAGAATTATTTGAAAATGAAAATTAAAAAAAAAAAATTGGCTTATACAACAACAAAAACAAGCCAGAAATTTAAAAAAACACAACAACTGGAATTACATCTTTGATTCCTTGATTTTTGCTGAGAGCTTATTTGGGTTGATCTCGTGTTTGAGGTAGAGAAAAGAAAAAAGGGGCCTCCCCGCGCTGTGGGGCCGGCTGCCGGTTAGGGGGATGGGTGGGGTGGGGGTGCAGAGGGGAGGCAGTGGGAAGGGGAGCAGGGCCAGAGGACAGAGAAGGCGCCTTCAGCCTCCGGGGAGGAGACGGCACATGATCAGCCTTCTACAGAAGAACTAAAATGCAGTCCCACCTCCCCTTATATCTCTTGTGTGACCCGCAGAGGAAGGATGCTTTAACTGCAAGCCCGTCACACTGCTGGTCCCCCTCACTCAAACTCCCCGTCGGCCACGCTGCCCTGTCCAGTATCGAGGCTCAAATTTACAGGCCGAGCTACTCATCAGGTGAGCAGGTGCCTTATGTCCAACCCTCAAACGCACCTCCAGAACACCCCTGCTTCTCTTTCTCCCTCCGTTATGCCACCCGGGTCTTTCCAAAGAAGGCTCAGAAGGTGGGGTCTTAAGGTACTGGACCAGGGGACACGGTGAGTACGTGCCTTCTTGCTTCCCTGTCCTCCACACCGTGCTCCTTCTGAGCTCGCCCTCCCAACTCCCTCCTAGGGGACACTTACATGTGAGAGTGTTTCAGCCTTTGGAAAACCCTGTCAGCCATACCATTTTCTTTTTCTTTTTTTTTTAAGATTTTAAGTAATCTATAGAACCAACATGGGGCTTGAACTCACAACCGGAGATCAGGATTCACGTGCTCTATGACTGAGCCAGCCGGGCGCCCCCGTCATACCATCTTCTTAAAACCCTATAGGCCTAGGGGCCCCTGGGTGGCTCGGTCGTTAAGTGTCTGCCTTCGGCTCAGGTCATGATCCCAGGGTCCTGGGATCGAGCCGTGCATCGGGCTCCCTGCTCGGCGGGAAGCCTGCTTCTCCCTCTCCCACTCCCCCTGCTTGTGTTCCCTCTCTCGCTGTGTCTCTCTCTGTCAAATAAATAAATAAATACAATCTTAAAAAAAAAAAACAACAACCTTATAGGCCTAGGAAATAAGGTGGGTGGTATTTGTGCTCTCCAGGGGATGAAGAAACCGAGTCTAGCCTGTGGGTCAGAGTGTCTGGTCTGTTACCCAGAGGCCTGAGGAAAGGTCCTTGGTGAAGAGGGGTAAGCACGCAGGACCCAGCTCTGTGAGGGGCACACCCAGCGTCTCAAAGCAGCCATCTCCCAGAGGGCCTGCCCCCTGCTCACCTTATGACCTGCTGTGCCTTCAGGGTGAGCCACGCGGTAGCCCACGAGGTCTCCAGGACCTTCAGTTTCAAAGCAGCCTTTTGGGGCTGGAAAGATCTGAAAGGAAATCTAGTCCAACAACCTGCTGACTGTACCGAGTTCCGCAGAAATGCCTCAGGGGCTACTGGGAGAGAGAAGAGAATGGGTTCCTGGCAGCCACCTTACTTGTTCAGAGGGACTCAGCCTTCATCTGTGTGACAGATGGGGGGTTTTGTTTGAAAAAACGTTGTGCTACTAAAAAAAATGGAGCACATGATTGAGCAGAATGTAATTTTTTCAGTAGTAAAAGTTGTTCGAAACATGTCAATTTAGGTAAAAAATGTTATTTCCCATTGACTAGTTTTCAAGGATTGGTGAATCACAGAAAGAAATTGTGACATGCTAATAAAACAGTATGAATTTTTATAAGAAAATATAGGTACTCTATCTCTCTATCATCTATCAATCCACCCACCCATCCACCCACTCATCCATTCACCCATCCACCCACCCATCCATCCACCCATCCAGCCAGCCATCCACCCATCCATCCATCCATCCATCCATCCATCCATCCATCCATCCATCCATCCACCCACCCACCCACCCACCCATCCATCCATCCACCTATCAATCCACACACCCATCCACCCACTCATCCATTCACCCATCCATCCACCCACCCATCCATCCACCCACCCATCCATCCATCCATCCATCCATCCATCCATCCATCCATCCATCCATCCATCCACCCACCCATCCACCCACATAGAAAATAATATGGGAGCTGGAGCAGACACTGTTTGCTGCCCACCCAATATTCATTCTCTCTTGACTAACAGTACTCTGATTTTGTTGGCAAAGAAATGTTTCTACTTAATTTGAGAGAGAGTGAGAGAGCACAGCAAGGGGAGAGGCAGGGAGAGGGAGAGGCAGGCTTCCCACTGAGCAGGGAGCCCGACGCAGGGCTCGATCCCAGGACCCTGAGATCATGACCTGAAGGCAGACGCTTAATCAACTGAGCCACCCAGGCGCCCCCAAGAAATGTTTCTACTTAAAAATAGTCCCTTTCCCAGACTTCCTTGCAGCTGGGGGTCCTGTGACCCAGTTCTGACCAGTAAGAATGGAGTGGAGTGGCCAGCTGCAGCTTTGGGGACAAGCACTGAGGGGGGCAGATGTGGCCGGTCTGCCCGTTTGGCTCTTTTCTTGACTTTCTCATGGATCTGGGCCAGGAGCTGCATCGGTCGCCTCACAACCCAGAGGCGACACAGTGGGAATGAAGGGCTGATGCGCGGAGGCAGGACTGCCGCGGAGCTGATGAAACTGGAGCTTTAAGGCCCAGAAGGGGCCCTCGCAATGTGTTCATGTAGTCATATGTTTTTGTAACATTTGCAAAAGGAGGATATTTTAATTGCAAGCACTTACTACTGCTGTTTTTTTCTACTTTGACTTCCCTTCTGCTGTTTCTTCCTACTCTGACTTCCCTTGTCACACTTCCTGTCATGTTGGTGACATGATGCTAGAATTTAGGACTTAGGTAAGGGGATGCTGAGTCCAGGTGACATTTAATGCGGGTTTCCTGGGATATATTCATAGGATTCCCACTCACTTCGGTGCACAGCCAAACAACTGCTAGCCATCCTGGGGTAGGAACGGCTTCTAGGAATTCCCTATGTTGTCAGAGTAGTTATGAATAATCAGCATGCAAGAGAACTCGAAATACCCCCAAATCTTGCAGCTTGTTTGTGGAAGAAACTTGAGGATGGTGTTCTCAAATTTAGCGACAATCCTAAAAATGTACACAGCTTTACCAAAAACTAAATGTGAGGCCAGAAGATTTTCTAATCTTGATCAAGTTTGACTAAATCTGATCAAATACGTTACAAGAAGAACTAATTTCCTTTTCCCTCTGTAGAAAACATTACGAACTCATTGTCATATAGTAGAGGCAAAGAAAGGCACAAAACAAAAATAAACAAAAAAGCCCCTATGAGTTATGCAAAGCAGCTAATTAATAAAAACACTATTTTT